TATTCATCATGCTTTTAACTTTTCTTTCTCAATTTTAAATTATTTTATTTTTTATTTTTAGAGAGGGGGGGAAAGGAGGGAGAAAGGGAGAGAAACATTGATCAGCTGCCTCTTGTATGTGCCCCAACCAGGGACCAAACCTACAACCCAGGCATATGTCTTGACTGGGAATTGAACTGGTAAGCCCTCCCTTTGCAGGAGGCCCAACCAACTGAGCCACACCGGCCAGGGGTGCTTTCAACTTTTCTTAAAAACATTAAATATTTCAGAATAAAAAGTTGGAGATATAAAATTAAAGTTAAATTTATCAATGTTTCCTAGATATTAGTTTCATTAAAGGTTAACCCAAACACTATCAGCAAAATGTAACAGGGTGAAGAAATATGATTAAAATAGATTTATGTTTGGCAAAAGAAGAAAGGTGACTTGAAATTATCAGGGAGAATTGAATGTGGTATAGGCAAAGAGAAAAATCAGTAGAAAGGAAATGAGAGATGTTGAGATCATGGAAGATTGATGAATTCAGAGATAGGAAGGGAAAGGATTAACAAGAGAGAACTTGGAACTAAACTCAGTATTTCATGTACGGTCCAACTAGGTTGAATACTCTTTTCTAAAGATATTAGGACATATGCTAAGGCTATATAAGTGCTTCTTAATACTTTTTATGGCGTGTTTATCAGCTATTTAGATAGAAAAAAATATATTATCTGTCACTTTATAAGTTTATAAAGTACACTCCTAGACCTTATCTCATTTACCCCTCCAACAACCTGAGATAAGGAATAATCATTCTTGTTTTATAGATTAGAAAAATTACGTTAAGACTTTGCTAAAGCTACACAGCTAATAAGTGAGAAAGCCACTCCTGAGACTTTTAACTATTGCAATCTTAAGACACTTTAATTATAATACTTTTTTTTTTAATTGGATCAGATTAAGGTGGTGGCCCAACCAGATAATTGCCTAGAACCTCAATCCATAAAACATATTTTATCATTGAAAATGATATAAAGAAAATAGTACTTAATGGAGTTCCTCTGGGGAAACAGCTCTGTATGTGGCTGAAATGGTACTTTGGTATGGGGCCCATAGTAGTGAGATTACTGTTATGTCATACTATCAGGTAATTAGATCATTATAGGTGCAGATTTCTTTTTGATGAGCAGGATATTTTACAAATTTGGACCAAAGCTGAACTGCTCGGAACAGTAAAGAGAGAGGCATTCTTTCTACCCTTTACCACTCAGACGTTCTTTTAAACAAAGATTGAATAAATATTAAGGAGTATAGTTTAGAAAAGATGCCAAATTAATAATTTGGCTTGGGGAGAAAAAATAGGATCAAGATTTTTTTTGATAAAGTAACAGATAACCCACTTCAAACTACCTAAAACAGTAAAGGAAAGGAATTGGCTTAAGAAAACAGAAAAAGAAAATGGGTGTCAAAGTTAATTCTGATTTTTGTTGTTTTTTTTGATTACTGCCCATGAGATAGGTTGGTCCTCAGGCTGGCCCCCTTGTTGCAAAACAGCTATGTCATCCCACTTTCTAGAAAGTCTCCTTGACTCTAATCACTGAATAAATGTCCCACACATTTATTGGCCTACTTGGGGCCAGGGCCCACATTTGATCTAATTCGCAAAGCCTGGAAGTGGCCTATAATTGTTGGATTTACAAGTAGAGTTACTATCTAATCACCATGGCAAGGAGTACATTAGTTAGGATTGGCATAGGCCCATTTGGGGTAGCACCTAGAACTCTTTGCAGCCAAACTTACCCAACTCTATAATGAACACTAAAAACAAGTCTGTGCAGCTTGCTTCTCTTAGTTTTGTGTTCATGTTGGTTCCTGTAATATCCTTGGCAGAAAGACTTATTGTATTTCTTTTTAAGACTTTATTTATTTACTTTTATACAGAGGGGAAGGGAGGGAGAAAGAGGGAGAGAAACATCAATTTGTGGTTGCCTCTCATGCGTCCCCTACGGGGGACCTGGCCGGCAACTGAGGCATGTGCCCTGACTGGGAATTGAACCAGTGACCCTTTGGTTCACAGGCGAGCACTCCATCCACTGAGCCACACCAATCAGGACAGCTTCTTGTATTCTATTCATCTATTTCCCCAAAGCTCCTAGCCCACAGTGGCCTTCACTTAATGTCTTGTTGAACAATGTTAAACTGTACTGACGTATAAACCAAGGACAAAGGAGAATAAGCTAAGATCAAGAATAAGCCGAGCTGGATCACAAAGTTAATGGTCTAGGGCCAGAATTAGAACCTACTCTAGATACTGTTCATTCATCATTTTATTCATTAACCAAATATGAGGCCAACCGTTTGTCAGCATTTATCAGTCATTACCGTCAGGTGGTTTAAAAAAAAATTTTTTTTTTTAAGATAAACACTTAATCCCTGGCTAGTGTGACTCAGTGGACTGAGCGCTGGTCTTCAAACCTAAAGGCCACTGGTTCAATTCCCAGTCAGGCACACGTCTGGTTTGCCGGCCAGGTCCCTAGTTGGGGGTGTGCAAGAGGCAATCGATAGATGTTTCAGTCCCTTTTTCTCCCTCCTTCCCCTCTCTCTAAAAATAACTAAATAACATTTTTTAAAGATAAAAACTTAAAAAATAATTATTATATATCTAATAATCACACGGATATCTACATAATTACCATGGAGAAATATTACGAAGGAAAAGTTCAGGTCCTGATGGGGGACTCAAGAGTTGGAAAATTTTAGTTTAGGTAATAGCCAATAAGCTTAGTAATCAATGCAAGTAAAAAGCTATTGTCCCAGGAAATGAAGGTATGACACATCTTGACTCTGGAGGACCATGTACAGTTCCACCTTTGTGCCTCAGGACTGCAAGCAATCGAGAGGGTATCTGAGCCATTGTACTCCAGATGAAGACACAGATCAAAGAATGCTGCAGCTTTATTTGATTAACTTTTCTCCTGAATCCCAAATCCCTTACCTACACTTTTCTTCTCCTTATAAAAAGGGTCGGTTTAAAGTGGAATTTAAGATGGCCTGTTAGGGTACATAACCTGCTGTCTTCTCAGATCACCGGCTATCTGAATACAGCTTCCATAAAGATTCAATCCCTGTCTCTGCTTATTGGTTCTGGTAGTGACAGGCAACACGAACACAGGTTTTTCAGGTTTCAGTCCTGTGAGCATTCACAGAGAGGGATTTGAATTAAAATAGGGTATGTGAGTTTAGTAAGGTCTTTCTGGAGAACTGATACTTAAAACTGAGATCTGAAAGATGACCAGGTGTTTGTGAGGGGAAGAGGGAAAGAGTGGGAAGTTATTCTTGGCCCACAAATAAACATTCAGAGGTCTTAAAACGTGGTAGGAGTGGTAGGTCTGATGGAGGGACTCGAAGAGTATTGTTGGAGTGAGGAGTGGGGAGAGGCAGTAGGTAGGAACTATATTAAACAGGGCCTTGTAAATAATATTAAGTGTTTTAATGTCTCTTGTAGGAGAATTTCATCCACCTCTTCCAAGGAAACATGAACCTGTGTTTGGTCCAGCAAATTTTCTGACCAGCTTGATTCAGCATCTTCTCTCATCCTTTATCAGCAAGTCAGGGAATGCTATCAAGCTTCCTTCTTTCTTCTCTGCCCTTGTCATTTCATGCTTTCCTGGTTATCAGATTTCCCTGACCTCTCCACTTTTTATCAGTGCCTTTCTGAGGGCTTTTATTTCACTTCTCCCCTAGCATCCCTCACCCCCGAGCCTTCTCAACTCCACTGTCTATGACATTCAGTTGCCTTTCAAAGTCAGAATCAGCCAGGTTACTGTTGAGGATGTGGGTGAAAAAGGGGCCACATAGTCAGCTTGACAAGCTCAGGGGCAGCCTGCCTTGTGGGTCTTACAAACTCACGAGACCTAAAGCAACCACGTTAAGATGGCCCAAAATTAAAACCTCCTAACTAAAAGTGAGTCGTGGCAGATAGTCTCGTTCTAGGCCCGAATCTTCCTTGCAAAGGTCGATTTTTACCTTAACTTAGCCTGTCTATTGTCTTTGCAGCTATGATAACATACATTTAGAATGTCAGAGTAATTTCCTTTCTCTAGACCCCTGAAGGCACAATCTCCCATCATAGCAGGAGACTCAGAAACCCTCATTGTCATTGTTATGCATTGTTAACTGCTAACTATCCTGTACCCTCCTATGTAAAAGAAGTGTCCTTTTACTTTTTATCCAATCCCAGAGATTTCCCGGTTTTGCTATCCCCTGACTTTCTAATCACTCACCAATGGATTTCATGTTACACTCTTCCGCCCTTCCCCTTCCGTCTTATCCTTTGATTCTAATGTATAAAAATGAGATGCAAAACTGGCATCCTCCGGAGCATTTTTCTCAGTCCATTAAGATTTTTGGTTCCCACAACTGTCATGAGGCTGAAATAAACTAAAAAATTCTTACAGGTTTGGACATTTCTTAAGTCGACAAGGATATTAGCAATCCAGAGGTCCCACCAATCCTGCGTCATTAGATGGTAAGAACAGCTCACCCAACACCTATATTTAGATTGTTCGACACAACTACTCTGGGGGATGGTTTTATTTGCGGCTGCTTCCTCTGTCACAGCCAGCAAGGGGAAGGGGACCCTAAGAATAACCCCGAAATGTTCCTGCGAGGAGTTCCGGCCAGTTCTTCCAGTCTGCCAATCCCTTGGGCCAGGCCCATCTTCAGGCCAGCAGGTAACGCTGAAGTCACAACGGCGCTTCGCGGGGGAGGGGAGTGAGGGCCTCCGTGCGGAAAGGTGAGGCGGGAAGGCACCGCGCGGAGCCCAGGAGAGTAGGGCGACAGAGCCTGGGGCTGGAAGGCGTCTGGGTGACGCGCAGGCCAAAGGAAGATCGCAGGAGCTGACGCGAGAGGGGAGCGAGGCCGGAAGACGCGGAGGGAAAGTGGCGGGCCGGGTGGGCGGGGGGGCACCAAGTGGGCGGGGCCGCGCGCGTGGGGGCGGAGCTTCCGTGCCGGTCACGTGACGGGCCTGGTGGCGGCGGCGGCGGCGGCGGTAGCGGCCGCGGCGTCTTCGGCGGCGCCCAGTGCAGGATGGTGCTGGCGGCGGCGGCGGCGGCCCTGGTGGCGGCGGTGTCGTTGGCGGCAGCTGGAGGGGGTGCTGTGGCGAAAGCGGCGCCCGCGGGCGGTATAAAATGGCGGATTTCGAGGAGTTGAGGGTAAGCTGGGGCGCGGGAATGGAGAGAGGAGGCCGCGGGGGAGGGGTGGGTAGGGGAGGTGGGGAAACCGCAACGTCGCCGGGCGCCACCTTCTTGCTACGGGGAGACGGTTTGCGGAGCCCCGAGCTCCGGTCCGCCTCCGACGCGGCCCCCGGGCGGGTGTTAGGAGGTGAGAGAGGCTGCGGAGGGCCTGGGGCTCAGGGTGAGCGGCCGGGCAGTCCGGCCGAGGCTCCTCACACCTGACGCGGGGGGCCGGGGCCGTCCTCGCGAGGGGGAGGACACGACTTCCCCGTTATTTTGAGGGCCGTGGTGGAAAGCAGAATTTGCTTTTCCATCTTCGCGAGGAGTGTCAATGTTGACGGCGATTTAGAAGTCCACATGCTACTCACTTGGTGGGAGACTTGTTTTCTGAAACGTGAAGTTCGGTTTAGGAATTTTCTCTCCTCCTTTATGGCTGATGCTCCGGTTTAGTCCGATGTGTCACGAGGAGGGCCCCTTCCACCAGTGCTTTCTCAGCATCTTGGAGAGAAACGTGGTTTTGGGGGAACTCTGCCTTCAATATTCGGCCTTAACCTTGATATTTTCTTAGTGCCATGGTAAGAAATCCGCAAAGTCCGTGTTGTCATGAGTTTTGTTTGTGCACTTGGCTTGCTCTTGAGGAAAAATATTTTTCCTCCTAGTCTTAGAACAATATCATAACTTTATTGTTGATACCTTTGTATAGTAGAGGTGGTGGGGTGTGCTGGGGGTAGAATGGAAAGGATATTTTCCCCTGGGCTGAACAAGAGGGCAATAAACGAGGCGGATATATTTTTATGGCTCGCTGAATTGCTGGCGACGTTAACTGGAATACTTAAGGACGGAAACTCCGATTTTAAAAACAAAGTCAAAGTAGAGATGAACGTGAACTTGAAATTAACTGCCGACCTTTTGCATAACATAGGCGTATGATGTTAGAGTTATTTGAAATAAGAAGGGAAAGGAATCTGGTAAAAGATTCAGTTTTGTATGTTTAGTATCATTTTGGCGAGGGATCCGGTCGGGGAAGGATGTTGGCTGGTTACTTGGCTGTTTACGGTGGACATTAGCAAAAGAAAGTACTAGGTGGTTCTGATCTAAAGGGAGATTGTTATAGTTTGCATAATGCTTGTCATATTCCCTCCTGCTGTTTCAAAAAGAATTATTTAATTCCCAATAAAGAGAAAAGTGTATTAATGAGTTTATGCCCTGTACTAGTTGATACAGAGAACCATGATAGTAGGTAAAAGGTATTGATAATGATAAAGTATAAGGGTTTTAGTGTCTTACCGTTCCTGCTGTGGCACTTTTAACACCTGTGGATCTTTTGAGGCAACCAGGCCTGAGCCTTACTTGTGTGAATTCATGCGTTTGGTTTAGGATGAGAAGAAAAGGATGTCAAGTTGAAATTAAATTTATTTTACCCCCAGTATTGTCCTAATTTTTGAGTATAACAGATGTATACAACTTTACTTCTTCTAAGATTTTTTGTTGTTGTTGACAAAAACTTTTCTAATGCTTACACTTTTATAAGTGTTGGTCAAAGCTTAATAAAAAAGTAAAGAATTTATTTACAGGTATATGGCAGAAAGGATGGTTAGCGCTTAGGTTGGAGTAAAACTAGAAACTGCAAAGTGTTTGGAAACTGAAGAAGCTTTTCTACTTCTTTCCCTTCCCCCCTCCATTTCTTTTGCGGGTCAGCTTCATCATCTCTTTCTGTAAATCGCCTGTCTTTCCTTCTCCTTGCATTTGATCATTCTGGTGGGTTGAGGGAAAGGAAGAGGCAAGTTTTCTGTGAAGGGAAATTGTGGGCTGAATGGTCAAAGATGATTATAATAATGTGTCACGTATTAGAAGCTTCCATGGTGCTGGAGAAGAAATTATTCAATTCATCAGTTGCTTATTTACAGCACTTATATTGGAAGGAGTTCGTGGTATAATTAGTTTGCAGATTAACTAGTTGTGAATTAACCTGGGACAGGCTCATAAGAGTTGATGGCCTGGACCTCTGTTTACTGTCACCCTGCTTTCTAGTCTCTAGCAGAGCCAAGCACAAAGGTGGAGGAGAGGCAGAATATTTGGGTTCTGAAGTCCCTCACCTCTTCTTCAATCAGAGTGCCTTTTTTACCCTTGTCTTTCTCCTCAAGTTGCATTTCATATTGGTGTTGCCCTTCAGCTGTCCTATAAAGAGGCCCCTGTTGCAATTTAACCTGGTTAATCCACTCTTTCTACTTCTCTCCACTCAGGTGTGGGAGTAGAGGGGCAACTAGTGAAATAAAAATTTTTTTTGAAGAATTTCTCTTCTGTATTCCTCACCCCCTTTTGTGCATTGAGAGTTCATTATCTTTGTGTGTCAAAAGGAGAGTGAATGTGTGCCTAAGTACTGGATGTGTATTTGGGCTTGTGAAAGAGCCAGTGATTAGGACTTTCTTAATAGATACTGGTAAACCAGACACAGGAAATCTTTTATAACCTGAGGCTTAAGAAATGTTATAACAGATTTTCTGTCGCGAAGCCTTGCATGTTTAGTTTTTTAAACCTAGCAGGACTGGCCATCCTGGAAGCTTCAGGTGCTGTTGATTTGCAGAGGGAGAATGAATGGGAAGTTAAGAGGGGTTTGAGGTTAGAGGTTCTTCTTCCTCCTTATCCCTCAACAGTTGGACAGGGAAATAGTCTTATAGGTATTAATAGATGTAACAATCTCCTATGTGATTCAAGGCTATTAGTGGTATTAAAAGATAAACTGAGGCATTAATATTTTAGGAATGAATTGGAGCAAAAAAATCAGTTTGAATTGGGCAGCACCAAACCAGAAGTGATTAGAAGCACTCAGTTGATAGGAGCTCGGGAAAAACTTAGAAAAGACAGAGCAAAGTAAGGAAATTATTGATTGACTGTAGCTTAAACCCTAGTTGGCTTAGATTTTGGTTTGTTTACATAGACACTAGTCTAATGGCCTCCTTGTTTAATTAATTTAACAATTTCCCTCCTTTTGGTCATTATGTCATACATGAGAATTTGACTAGAAACTTTATATTTAGAACTACTTAGGCACCATCAGGGTTAAATTGCTCTAGTCTCATGTGAAACTCACAGATTATGATGTCATCCATGGAAGAATTGCTTTTGCTGTTTGTCTTGTTGTTCATCGCGTTTGTTTCTGGATAGTGACGCGAGCATGATAAGGTCTCTTTTAACGAGGTTAGAGGGCATTCTTTCTTAGGCATCATTTCCAGAATGCCTACTGCCCAGGTTGTAAGTTTTGGAAGGTTTGACCATCTGTAGGAGGTTCATGGAAAGCTTCCTTTACCTGGTGGAAAAACACTTTGGCGTAATGCATTAAAGCTTTACAATATTGAATCATATCAGAATTTATGAGTACAGGAGACACATGGTTTTTATCATCAAAGGCATAGGTCTTCTTGTTACTATTTCATAAAGTGTTAATTTATGCTTTTGTATAGTATTGGTCTAATTGTCACCAAAACCAATGATAGAACTTTTGGCCAGGGTAGTCCAGTTGATACTGTTAATTTAGCCAGCTTTAGTTTTAAGTTACCATTTGTTCATTGGACTTTACTAGGTGATATAGGACAGTAAGGACAACAGTAATGCCATTGAATCAGCAATGCTGTATTTAATTGTTTAATTATTTGTCCAGTGAAATGAGTTCCCCTATCACTGGAGATTTCTCTGGGAATACTCAGTAAAGGAAATGTACGTATTTTCTAAAAGTTTCTGAGCCACAGTTATGACAGCAGCCTTCTTTCTGAAGGCTTTAATCCATCCTGAGGACATACAATTACAAGACCATATTGATAACCCATGTGGGAGGCAGTTGAATGAAATCCATTCATAAGTGTTCTAATGGCCTAAGTAGGTCACCAGTGGGAATGGCCTTCCCAGGGTTATGGTCCTGACAAATCAGATATTGGTCATAAAACAAATTTGAGACCTTGGATCAGTAGTTCAACCAGTACTTTTTCATAATTTCGAGCATTTTATCTGTGCCATGATGAGTTGCTGAATGTAGAGCTTTTGGTAATGCCATTTTTAGGGACACAGGAAGAGCCAGGTGCCTGTCTGGGCCCTTAGTGAGTCCTTGTTTAATATTAAATTTGCACCCTTGTTTGTCTCAACATTGTTACTCTAGCTTTGGTGCCTGATTTGGTCTTTTTTAAAAAAAATGTATTGTAGTTTTTAATCCTCACCCGAGGACATGCTTATTGATTGTAGAGAAAGAGGAAGGAAGAATGAGAAAGAGGGAGAGAAACATTGACTGGCTGCCTCTCTTACGTGCCCTGACCAGGACCCAATGCGTAACCTAAGCATGTGCCCTGATCGGGAATCAAACCAACTACCTTGCGGTTTATGGGAGGATGCTCCAGCCAACTGAGCCATACAAGCCAGGGCCTCATTTTTCTCTTTTATATAAATTATTATAAATAATTTGGTTAGAGTCAATCCTATGGAGTTTATTTAAGTTGCATATTGGAACAATTTAGTTGTAGCTAATGTAGCATCTGCAGGAGCATTTTCCTGAACTTGGTTCTGTTTTTCTAGTATGTGAGCTTCAGTTTTAATAATTGCATTTCAGCTAGGCAGTAGAATGACAGAGAGCAGTTCATTTACTTGGGGGCCATTTTTGATTGGTGTTCCACTAGAAGTGAGGAATCCTTTCCGTTTCTTTAACATACCAAAGTCATATCTGCTGTTAGTATAAATGTTTACTGATTTTCCATTGGCTAGCTAATAATATTAGTTAAAGTGAGGCCTTGTAGTTCTGCTGGTTGAGCGCTGCTACAGCATGTAATGCTTGATATTTCCCTTCTGCATTCATAGCATAGGACCCATGGATGAAAAGTGTTAAATCTGGGCTTCCCAGTGGTGTGTTTTGCAAATGAGTGAAAGGGCTTAATAACCATGATACCATGTCTACACAGTTATGGTGATCTGTGCCATTGTCATGCAAGGGTAGCAGG